CCCCAAAACCCCAAAACCCCAAAACCCCTAAATCTGATTAATTAGTTGATCAAGCTTATAAATTTTTGAGAAATAAGTAGGTCGAGAACTAACCATCAAGAGTTTTCTTGTTTTATGAAATTATCTCAACTCTGGTCGGAGATGACCCTTTTAAATCGAAAAAGCCAGAGGTTACCAATCCTACAGCACATAGTTAGTCAATAATTCGATATCAATTCTCAAATAAGTCATTGTAGAGCTCAGCTCAAGAAACAATCCAATAACTCTAACAAATGGGGAAGATATATTCAATCGTCAAATGAAGATCAAGAGCCAGAGAAGACTCTAGAGAAGCCCAAACAATTCTCATGTATGCTGAAGTAAACCACTTGCAGAAGCTTCTGTTTGAGAGAGGAGGAAAGAACAGATTTACCTTCTTCTATTTTGGCATGTGCTACAATCATAATCAGTATAAAAAGGTGGTATCCCTCAAGCCCAGATTCCACCACCTTGATTTCTTAAGCTTTGATGGTACCCAAGGACACAATGAGAAAGGTTTCAGACCTAAGCATTGATGTAGCAATGCAGTCAACAGCATTAGTGTTACAGAAGTTAATACATTTTCTTTCTGTGGAGCTGAATATATTTTAATGAACTTTAGCTTTTATTCCAAAAGGGTTTGCAAAGCCATGAGTGCCACTTTATCCTCAATTGAGCTAAACAGACTCAGGATATCTCATAAAGATTTTGGACGCATCCTTGTCTCGGTGGCTAGCAAATGAGAACTGTCGATCAGCCAGTGTAAGGCCACAGTGAACCACTTGGATCACCTCAATAATGCCAGAGTAGCTATCTCTCATTTGGTATTGTTTAAGACTGAGATTACTCAGCCTGAAGAAGACAATGAGCATTATGATGGCTTGACCACCAAAATGTCAAAATCTAAGCTCAATTCTACACTGAGACAACTGGATGTCTACCCAGTCGACTATGACTTCCGAGGCCATGAAAACCCAGAGGGAAATGAACTCATGAAAGGGAATATTAAAATTAAGCTATACCCTTCTGAAAGCTTAGATTAAGCATATCTATAGGTGAGTTTCTTAATCCTGATGATATCCTATTCTTGAACTAGAATGAGAATACTTTTCAATATTCATCTCCAATACTGGGGTTTTGGGGTTTTGGGGTTTTGGGGTTTTGGGG